TTCACAACGTTCGTATTTTGGACATCTAAAGTGCTTATAATGAAGCTCGCTATGCCCACATCAGAATCAGTCAGTCCCATCTTCTAGCCAACAGCAATTGTAATTTAGGCTTCCCTTACTTTAACTAAAATCTACAAGCTAACAGACATAGTCAAACGAAAAAAAAAATTCCGCAAAATCACGGCCTTAAAAAAGCTAGATAGACACCATTGCAGATAAAATAACTCCGTTTAAATAGAAAGCATTAAATTGGATGAAAAATACAACAATCGTGTGAATTCTTTTTGCGTGGCATCTTATAAGAATACTGCTAATGCATTTCCAATAGACTTATTGGTTGTACGAACATTCAGGCACATGGGACTTGGCGAAGGTTTGCTTTAAAAGCTTCGGATGAATATCCATTTACTCTTAGTTCTTCCTGCGAAGCGAAAACTGCAGTTGCATATAACCCGACGACCGAATAGTTCTCACGCCGAAATTCATAACGAGTGATGAATGTTCACCATATCAGGAACCGCACGCCAGCAATTGCGCAACTAGAACACAAGCGGGCAGTAGCCTAGCGAATGCCTGCTAAAAATACTGAAACTCCTGCTTCTGTCTCCGGTGGTTGATTCGAGAGGGAAGCTTCGAATTTTGTAAATAAAGTTCTTGTCGCAGCGATCCCGCATACTTTTTATCAAATAGACTTTTCCTAAATTATGCACCAGTTGGTCATATTTTACAGGATTCATCGGATGCACCCATATCCATGTTCCGTTTCTCACGAACGTTTTGCAGGCATATTACTCACTGCGTTATTTCTTGGCTCCGCTCTCAACAGAGATCGTCTACAGCCTGCTGTCCTGCAAATACTGCAATTGGCCCTGCAACCGTTTGCAACTGACGTTAAATTGACGTGGTCCATTACCGGGGATGCTAAAGGGAATGCCATGCCTGTGGTAACGATTCCTGCCCAACTCCCGAACTTATATTCGGGCAGTTATGCAACTGTCGTCGGACTGATTGAAAATCGTGAGTCTTGCATTACTTACGAGCATACTGGGTTTAGACCATCAAGGTACTCTTTATCCACCTCTCCCACTAATAGCTATCTGAGTTTTTAGTCTGGTTCTTTCATTGATATATTTTTGATTTTCAGGAAGCTCAACAGTATCCGCTGTGACAAAGGAGACTGAAATTTTTATTTACTGCTTCTTCACCGCCATCAGCCAGTCATACACAGCCCCAAATAGTGCATCACCGAAGGCTTGAACATATAACCTTCGCTCTTATGCACTAGACCGTAGACTCGCTGTCTTGCCGTTTCATAATGTAAAAGGGGCATTCGTCAGGGACCGTTTGCCGATCGTTATCGGAAGTGACTTGCCCAGTTCTGCCTACTGAGTCACTCTCAAA